CCACAGACAGCTCTTGGCAAGGACTTCGCATATATTTATCGGGCCATAACGTGAGTTTGGTTCATCGTTAAGTTATACCACAAAGTAGGTACGATCTTGCACGTTCGTCCATTATTCTGACAGGAAAGTGAAGCGAGGGAAGTTTTGCTTGCCGATCATTTGTTTTCCCGAACTGGCCTATCAACATGACTTGAACAGCAGCTAATACTCGCCTGGTGGCCAAAATTTCACCACGTTTACCGATCCGTGGCTACTGTGTGAAGGAAATGTTCGATTTTCTTCTTTAATTTGTTGAAAGAATGTTTGTTTTTCTCCGAAAATATGCGTTTTTGCAGTGTCCGGGAGAGGGCGAACATAAAATAATGGACTTTATCCGGAGCGAGAGAAGCCAGCCTAATTATGATCCAAATACAAGGCATTGCCTGTATGGGCTTGACGCCGACTTGGTAATTTTTGACATTTGTGAAAAGTGGTCAAGAGACATTCTATTTCTTCGGACGGACAATGATTTGTTGGATTTAGATAATGTTGGGGATGTGTTCGCATGAACCTCACTTTGCATTATTGCGCGAAGAAGTAAAATTCGGGCGACCAAAAAATCACGGCACAAAGCACAAGTCTGTTTTTCACGCATCTATTTCATTTTTTTATTTAACACGTTTATCTTATTTTGTTGGCGTTTTATGGTTTTTGTATTCACTTCGATGCAGAAAACCCGAATTGGCGGGTTTTAGTGTGTGTTACGGGTTTCAACTTCAGTCAGCTAGGAATCTGAAGTTCTGAGCAATAACATGCGCGGACCCATAATGAACTTTCATGTTTCTCCGCATACTTATTCACGAATATGTACCATTTTTATGCGTTTTGTGCTGTGTAAAAGCCGTACAAAATACATATTGTCACGAGGTTGTTTGTGTTTGTTTGTGTATGTGCCCGCAGCAGCTTGTCCGCAACTTTTAATTCGGGAACCACAAAAGTTAGGAAGCTGACGGATAACAAGTACGGCCGTGTAAAAGTTTGGGCGGGTAAAATTATCTCGGGAACCACGGAGTCTAGGAAGCCGAAATTTTACGGTTGTGCCTTCGTGCCCGTGAACAGTCTGGCTAATTCAAATTCAGCGTTCCCGCGCTCTCGGGTATCACCTACGGGCTAGTAAAAGTTTTTACGGGTAAATTATTATCTCAGGAACCACGAGGTCTAGGAAGTTGAAATTTTAGGGTAATGGCCCCACACCCACGCTCAAGCTTGCGTATTCAAATTCAGCGTCTCCGCGCTCTTGAGTATCACCTACGGCCTCGTGAAAATTTTGGCGGGTAAACTGTTAACTCGGGAATCACGGGAAGATATTCACCCTTCAAGGTTTCGAATTCAGCTCTCATGTGCTGCTGCGTGAAATAACTATTTTCCAATGTTTGAACTATTTTTGCGTAGACCAAAGTACAAAGCAGTGAAAATCATTAATAGGCAATCGTTTGATGGGCTGAATTGCACAAAACGCATGATCGTGCCGGCTAGTCAGATGCGCGCTGCTATTTATTAAATTCTGGATTCTTTTGTTTTCAGCACTTAGGGCATAGAACATGAAGGGCTGTATTTCTGAGCTACGCAGTTACCTTGAAATATTTAAAAGATGTCGTTTTCGCAATGCTTTCAT